GGGTCAGAAAATCTGGACCATAAGATCTTTCTATCATTTTCCTTTTGTTACGTCTTGATTGAACCTCAACCTCCTCTTCTTGTTCTTAATCCTGACTATTTTCAGTCATAGTCTCATATGTCCGTTTAGAAGAGCTTGCCTCTTTTAAGGACCTGTATGGAAATACATGTTCAAAGAACGAAGCATTTCTCAATTCCATTATCGTGATTTTCAGACCTATCTTCACCTTCTTTGGTGTTGGGACAGCCAATTTAGCAAGACACCCACACACTCGTAAGTATTTATAAGAAGACTTTCTTCTTTTCCATAACTCATAAGGGGTATTTTCCAATTTCTTTCGGGGCACCTTATTTAAAAATAATTTGCTGACAACACAGCTTCTCTCCATATGTTCTGAGGTAACCCAGAACTTACTAGCATTGTATTCATCATTTCTTTTAAGGTGCGATTTTTTTTTGTTTTAGCAACACAATTTTGTTGCAGTGAATACGGTACAGCGGTTTCATGTATGATTCTGTGTTGTGAACAAAATTCAGCAAACGGTGCTTCATACTCATCACTTCTATCACTTCTCAACACCTTAATTTTCTTGTTAAGTTGATTTTCAACTTCATTCTTACAGAAAATAAGTTTCTCTATCGCTTCATCCTTACTTTTGAGTAAACATATATAACTGTATTTTGTGCTATCGTCGACAAAAGTAATGAAGTACTTATTGCCACCTCTTGTTTGTACAAATTTTAAATCACATATGTCACTGCAAATTAAATCAAGTGGTTCTATATTCCGTTCAATTGATTTAAATAATGACCTTGTCAGTTTTTCGTCAACACAAGTTTTGCACTTATGTTTGGAATTAATATGGAACACGGGTATGCAATTCAAGTTAACTAGTTTACGTAAAGTATCATAGTTAACATGTCCTAGTCTACCATGCCACACATTGGAAGACTCAAGCAAGTAAGTAGAAGAGTTTAGCTTTAGCAACACCAGGATTGAACTACTTGTTCTTGGAACTCTTGTTGTCTTCTTCAATTCGAAGTCTAACAATTAGTTCTTCGACGTTCATTTTCTTTCGTTTGTGTGCTTCAGATAATTCTTGAAGTCTTTTCACGTGGGGGTGATTTTTCAATAATTGCAGCCACTCGAAAAGTTTCACTTTCACTCAACATCATCCATTCGACATGAATTTCGTGAAGAATCACTTGGAGTTCTTGCACTTGACTGATTACTGTTTTGGAGCCCACCATCTTATAATCTAAGAATCTGCCAACAATGAATTTTTTAACCTCGTCATCCTCAATTTTATATTTTCGGTTCAAAGACTCTTACAACTCCTTAGCAGTTTTCATAGTACTATATACGTTGTATATCGAGTCTGCTAAACTGTTCATAATGTAGTTTTGGCACAGAAAATCCTAATGGTTCCAAGCATCAAGTGCACTGATCGCTTGAACATTAATCGGAACATTGAGTTTTGGAGCAGTTTCAGTCAAGAATCTCGCAAGATTCAAGGTGGTCAATTAAAATAGCATTTTCTGCTGCCACCTTTTGAAATTCAAGCCATTGAATTTCTTCGATTTTTCTTCATGATTAATCGGAACATTAACGGTATGGCTAGTTGTTTGACTCACAACTTGACTGGCAATCTAACCACAGTCTGAGCCACAACAGAACTTGGCCTTTGAGCCACAGCAGAGCCCACAACCTGATTTTCATTAGCCATATCTTGGGTTACATCCATGTTGGTTGATTCGGTTGCCAATTCGTCGTCGTCGTATGAAAATGAAACAAATATTAGTTTCTAATAAACCAATATTAATTTTTCAATAAAACAAATGAAACAACTTATCTATAATAACGAGTCTGTTTTAAGTTTTTTAGATAAATGTTACATTACTAGAGACTGGATTTACACATTGGATGCCAAATTTACAGTTTTAATACCATAGTTACAACATACTGGATATACACATTGGATACCGGATTGAAGCATGCCGTATATGCAGTGATTTTAAACACTGGATTTTCTCATACCGTTTTTGCATATAACTTTGAATATAATATATTCAAGTATATAATAACAAATTTAATAATGTGGCAGATTCAATAATTTGTTAATTACAGTAACACTTAACAAGTAATTTAAAGAGCACAACAAAATATCAATATGCAAAAACGAGTAACAAACAAGTAATTGGAAAACAAAAACGAATTAAACAATAAAACTTTTAACTCGAGGCCTGTGTTTCCACACAGTTTCCTTAAAATAGATTCGTCCCCTCACCGTCTGTGCTTGAGGTTTAAATCGAGCGTCCGTTTCCTGGGATACAATGATAAAACTAGTAGATTCTGAGTACTACAGATACTATTTCGGCGAACTGATTTAGTGTCTGAACAATACAACCACCAAGACTCAAACATAAATTAAAATGTATGTAGACAGTTTATTCCGTGTATTTGCAGATGAATTCATGTGTATTTGCATATGAATTCATGTGTATTTGAAAAGTGGAAAATGAGACATATAAAGACTTGGCTCTTGAGAATGTAACTTGCCCATTCACTTAATGATAATTATCACAGGAGTTTCAACAGTTTCAGAAAATGAAACGCCAGTTGAATAAAACAAAAATATAGCAAAACGTGGACACTCCTAAGGGGCAATTTTGCTCATTTCGGTCCGACATTCGTTTACGCAGGTCGCCCTCGCATACGAGTTCAATGTCCGAAGCCTATTTCGTTCCGTGATTTGCACCCCCCTGCGTGCACACGTGGAGAGAGCCTCTATGCTACACATGATTACACCCTTCCAAAGTGAAACCTTATTTAAAGTGGTTTTTGTTTTCATCAACTTCCTATGTGGGACAAACACATTTCTAGTTTTCCTACCAACACAAACTCCTTTTAATTGACATACTTTGAGTTTCAATTTCTCATTCACTCGAACATCAATTTTGGCAAATAAATACATATTTCGATGTATTCACGGAGGATAATACAAATCAATCTTTATCTTTCAAAATAGCCAAACGGGTCCCACTCAAAACTCATGCCAAAGTCAGCCGCATACTCATTTTTCCAATAGTTGACCCATCGGCAAAAGTAACAGTTTGAGGATTTTTATGAAAATTAAAGGAGGACATATTATTTGTGTTACATGTAATATGGTCAGTAGCTCTAGAATCAATGACCCATTTGGAAGTGGATGACACTAGGAATGTAGTAGATTTACCTTGCTCTTCAGTAGTAGCTGTAGGAGGATTAACAGACCTAAGCGCTTCTTGGTACTGAGTAAAACGGGCACACGAATTAGCAGGAACTAGCACTTGTTCAGGCAGAGATGTATGATCGTTTGTTTTCTTGCAGCATTTGCAACTTGAGGCTTGCCATGTAGTTTCCAGTAGGTACTTCTTGTATGTCCAGGCTCACCACAGAAAAAAACAGATTGGTGGTTTGCCACTACTTCTACCCTGATTGTCATAGTTACCTCGTCCACCTTTTCCACTGTGATTTTCACAATTAGTTTCACTCCTAGATCCGTGGCTTGCAAGGGCACTAGTAACACTAGGAGGAGAAAGTCAAGATCTCTCTGCACGTACTACTCGAGAGAAGTGTCATAAAGAAAAGTAATTTCTTTGCTAGAGAGAATTTGTGCTCGAGCAGTATCAAACTCGGACGTCAATCCTACAAGAAAACTCATAACAGCCATCTGTTCTTGCCGAGACTGTTGTGTTTTCGCATCAGTAATGAAAGGTAGCAAAGTATTTAATTCCTCATTGTTAGAAGTAGTGTTTAGGATGGCTGCCACATTGATAAAGCTGCTATTTATTTAATTTGAATATTTCAAAGTTTCTTGCATCATCTCTTAACCAAGCTTTCTTTGCTGCTTTGTCAGAAGGTGGATCATCAGTTAGATGATCATCCTTATCAATGCTGCGAAGATAAACTCTCACTATTTTGCTCCATGAACACCAGGACAGCCACAACAAACATAGAACAGAAATAAAATATCGAAGAAGAAAAGAAGTTCTACGGCTCTACAGATATAAATAATTAGGATTTTTTTCTTATTCATCTTCGATACAAAAGGTACATATACAAACATACATACATACATACGTACGTACGTACGTACGTACGTACGTAGACTCCCTAATTACAGCCTAATTTTCCTCCTATAGTTATTCACAATATTTACCTACCATATGTAAAAATATTAACCTATTGTATTTACATAATATGATTATATTTGCAATTTTTACAACAAATTGTAATATAGGGTACAGATTACAGAACATTATTCTTTTGCAACATGTGATGTTTCATGCTACTGTATTCTTGAAGTTATATAGTTGTAGATGTTGGATTTGATTTCTCATTTCCAATTGCCAAATAAATTATCCTCATGATAAGAGAAACTTTTTGGCAGATCCAATGCAAAATGCAGTACTTGATTGGCCTAAGCGCTATAACATTATAAACGGTATTGCTCGGGGACTTATGTATCTCCATCAAGATTCCTGTCTCAGAATCATCCATAGAGACCTCAAAGCTAGCAACATTTTGCTAGATTCTGAAATGAACCCAAAGATATGAGACTTTGGTATGGCTAGAAGTTTTGGAGGAAATGAGACTGGAGCTAATACGAGCCGAGTAGTTGGAAGATAGTAAGAATCTGAATCCCATAATGTATGAAATGCTCTTCTATTGCTTATAACTTAGTTTCCTGATAATTTTTGTCATGTAATGGCTACATGTCCCCCGAATATGCTATAGATGGCATGTTCTCGGTGAAATCAGACGTATTTAGCTTTGGCGTATTGTTGCTCGAGATTGTGAGTGGCAAAAGAAACAGAGGATTTTCTCATAGAGATCACCACCACAACCTTCTTGGACATGTAAGTATAGTGTATATGTACATTGTAAAGAAATTACTCCTTACAGCACTTGGATTCAAAAAATGGTCCTTTAATTGAGTTCAATTAGTACAGGCATGGATGCTTTATAAAGAAGGAAGGTCTTTGGAATTCGTCGGTGATTACCTTGGTGTCTCAGGTTATTTATCAGAAGTGCTGCGATCAATCCATGTGGGACTGTTGTGCGTTCAACAATGTCCAGAAGACAGGCCAAGCATGTCTTGGGTAGTGTTTATGCTTGGGAATGAAGTTGTGTTGCCTCAAGCTAAACAACCTGGTTTTTTTACAGAAAGAGATTTGTTCATTGCTGAAAGTTCAAGTGGCACAAACGCACCAGGCTCGATAAACCAAATGACCATGACATTGATGGAAGCACGATAAGTTAATAAGCTATATTTATTACACCTATATTTCTCTTATCATTATTTTTCAAATCCTCTCAGAAAGACTTCAGAGTCATAAATGCATCCGTAGTATGAACAGTGAAAGTTCATACCTTCCATTCCTAAGGTGATTTTGGTGTGAAACAAATCATGCATCTGTAATTTGGTGCAACATTCCAAGTAAGTTTTTGCAGTAAACACGTTGGACTGATGAAAACCCTTGATGGCACGTTTACAGATTTGGTATATAGTACCCAATTAAGGAATAAAAAGGAAATTTGAAAATCTTGTCTACTGTTTCTCCAGTGCTACAAATCAAGATGCACCAGGAGGATAGTATTATCTACAGGCTCATACATACAGCACACTTGAACTCAATTTTGAACATAAAATTGGTTTGAATACTGAATTTTCTGTAACACACACAAACACTTTCCCCAACCCAAAAAAAAAAAAAAATCTTCTCGTAGTGATCATCTGATACCATCTGCTATAAAATTTTAATTTAAATTGCCATAAAATATAAAAATGAAAATTAGAATCACTAAAAGTCTAATAGTAAGACAATATCGAAAACAGAGCCTAGCTCAAGTAAAATAGGTTCAAGCCCCCCTTGGGGAGGATTTAAGAGTCAATTTGAGAAAACGAGTCACATAATGCCAAAATTTTTTAAATTGAACATTCTACTAAATTATACAATTTTCTTCTTTTTTGATAGAGTTAGTCTAAAGATAGACATATTAACGTCTTGTTTTGTAGTGCTATTTTTGTTGAATATACGTAGTATTTATTCTTTTTAAGTCCTATTATTATGAAATGATAGCAATAACAATAAAATGAGCAAATTTTCACATTTGAAAATGACTCAAAATGATACCGAAAATAGGAGTTGAAAAATGATATCGACACTACCAATTCCCATCGTAACAATAAAAAATGATAAAAATTAGTCATTTATATGTTTTTTTCTCTCATGGCATTCTTTCTCTTATAAAGAAATGATACCAATAGCAATAAAAGCGAGAGAATTGTCCCGATTGAAAATGAAACATGCAATAAAAGTCAGAAAATGATACCAACACTCAGGGGCGGACACAGCACCTGGGTAGCCCCCGTAGCCGCCCGTGCCGAATCCACTGAAAACTTCAGACTACCACCTGGTGCCGGGAAGAAGATAAAGAACAGAAGAAGGGGGAGCTGGAGTGGATGGGGAGCTAGAAATTTCAAATTTTTTTGGGCCTTATTTTAAAAAAATGGCCCAATTGATTAGCCCAATCCATGGCCAATTGGCCATGGGTTTTGCTTGAATTCTATTTAGACAATGGCCAAAATCCATTAGCCACAACATTTAACAAAATCAATTAACCAATCCAATTTCCAGATATCCTATTCTGGGCAGTGGGCGAAATTGAGTTTTTGGACGACGAGGGTGATTGGCGAAATTATTTTGAGGAGGACGGTGGAGGTTGGTGGCTGGAGCTGTGAGTTTTTGGGCTGGAGGCTGGAGCAGTGGAGACTGGCTACGTTTTCTGCTGCGGCTTCTACGGTTCTGCCTGGCTGAGGTATGTATAATGTATTTGAATTTGCCTATCTCCTATTTGCTATTAATGAATTATGAGAAATGAGAATTTATGGATGGGTGCATTCCTATAGACTCTATATTTCTGTTTTTGTACACCTTTTTTTTTTTTTTTCAAATTTTGTTAATTTGTGAATTATGAGAAATGAAAATTTATATTAACTATGAGTTATGACTTATAATTTTGAATTGTGTTTGTTAATTGTGATTTGTGAATTTAGGGTTTTAGGAAATTAGGATTTAGGGTTGTATTGAATTACGTTTTCATATATATATATATATATATGATTTTTACGTTTTAGTGCGTTTACATATATATTAAGTAATTTTTAATATTATTTAATTAAATATTAATAAACGATCTTGCTCTTACGATTGCTAATTGTCGATGTTGACCGGTCAACAACTGTCAGGACTGAGCTTTAATGCTGGGTCTGCCATTGCCAACATTACCAATGACCGTTGTAACAACAGAAAAATATGAAAATCAACCATTTATATATATATATATATATATATATATATATATTTTCTCTCTCTCACGGTATTTCTCCGTCTCTTTGGTATATGAAGTTTTAACTATGATTTCAATGAAATACAAGAATTAAAATATCTTGCACAAACCCTCCCTTAAGTGTATAAATGGGTCATGGGTATAAGTATCCTTTTTGTTAAAATAGATATAATTCAATAGCAAAATGGATGGAAACCTTTCGAAAGGAACTTTTGAAACCAAAAAATCAGTAGGTTGAGGTGGTCAATTCCAGGATTAATGAAATTTTAGGGACCATACTTTAGGGACCATTGTGCAAATTCTACATTTAAATAAAAGTAAGGGCGTTGTATTTTTTATTAAAATACTTTTTATCGTTCAAATAGACTGAAACATTCTGCACAAGAAAAATAACGGAAATTGCGAAAAAGGACTATTTGCTCAGATAAATTAACCATGAGGATTTCCATGGCAAGAAATAAATTAGGGAACGAAATCACACACTTCCCATTGGCTAGCGACCGTTTGTGCCAATTTTCATAATTTTTTTTTTTGTTGGGATTTCTTTAATGTCTTTTGGATTTTTTTAATATTCAAGAAATTTATTTTATTTGGATTTCTTTGATTTTAATAATTACACACTAAATTTCCCCATTGCCTTTTTTGTCGCAATTTTGTTCCCAATGTTACAACTCATCCTCTTCAAAAATTTTGTCAAATTTTATTGTAATAAAATGGGGTTAATTTCACAAACGGTCACTGAACTTACGCAAAAATAACAAAAAGGTCACTAAAGTTCAAAACTTGCAGAAACGGTCACTGAAGTTTCACGCACTTTCACA